CCAGAACCCCATCCCCGCAACCGGCGTGCTCCCGAGAGGACCGGACGATGGCCGGGCCGGGGGTCAGAGGAGCCCCGGCGAGATGGCTGGGCATTGGGCTTTGGGGTAAGGCAACTCTGGCTCGGTCGCTTCCCCGCTCCTCCCCGCCCTCCGGCCCCAGAGGGCACCCCGGAGAGGAGGGCGCCTTGGACGGGGTGGGCCGTGCACGAAACGGGCACCGTGACCGCTCACGGCTGGCCGGACGCCGGGCGCTGACCGCCGAGCTCCGTGCGTGTCCGCTCGCTGTGGCAGCCGGCAGGCCCGCAGCCTCCCAGGCGGTTGGTCCCTTACGGGAGCCTTCCCGCCCAGGGACCTGGAACCGGGTTCCGAGGCTACAGGGTGGGCGCCCAAGTTCACAGGCTCTGGCGTTGGACGCAGGGATTGATGCGAATGGGGTGCACCTGTGATGGTTGGAATGGTAGTTCCTAGCCCCCTCTTCCCTCTTCCTGTGCATCCCCTATCCCCCATCTCTGCAACTTGGCTGCTTGTTGCCCAGGCTTCAGGCTTGTGTGGATGGGTGAGAGGTTGGGGTGGGCTGTCCCCCTCCTCGAAGTCCGCTTCCTTCTGCCTCCTTCAGTGCTCACTGACGCTCCCCTGGCTCCATGGAGGACTTTTGCAGGAAGGGTCTTTCCTCTGGTCCCGACAAAGACTCCAGACTCCACTTCGTAGGGGCAACCTGGTCTAAATTGCTGCTGGTTCTTCCTTTTGGGGGGAGGTGACTATGAACCCAAGGAGACATGGGCGGACGTCTCAAAGGAACGGAGTCTTCATGAACATTGGTTAACATGCTCACCATAGCAGCCAGTGCCAATTGCCGGGAGGGCAGAGTGTAATCTCATACACCGAAGTTGGGCACTCGGTACCTGACACCTGCTCCTTTTCCTGTTTATATTTCTCCGTGGCTTTTGGCAGCTCCCCCCAAACTTCCAGTGGGCTCGGTGAGCGCAGTAGGTGTTTGTGCTGAAAACGGGGAGACAGTGGCTACAAGGGGGAGTTGCTGCCCTTTTTGGACAGGCACAGGGTAGGCAGACTGCCATGGGACATCTGGTGCAGGAAGAGGGGGGAGCTGCGGGTTAATGATGCCCCCCTGCTCCGTGGGAAACCCTGCTGTCCTCTCTGCCACCTGGACTTCACATTGACGCTAATAAAGTCACTGTCACCACCCCAGGCCACACTGCCTCTCACACAATGGGGACCCCCAGTCCACCACAGAGCAGCTCTGGCTGTCACTGTGGCCCTGGCCCAAGAGGGGTGAGGGGTCACTGAGGATTCTCCACTCACGTCCTTCTTCAAGTGCCAACTCGCCAGCATCTCTGGACCTGCTTGGGTGGTAGGGCACAAGTCCTGAACCTTAACCCCCAAACTAGTTGCTGGTGAGTTGGCTCTGAGGATGGTCTGCTGTTAGAATTTTCACAGGAGCAGGGCTTCTATGGGGAACCAAGAACACCCACGGCCCATGAGTATGCGTGTGTCTTGAGGGGGTGGGGACATGGTGGGCAGAGTCTTGGAGTCTTATCCAAGTAAAGGCCCCCATGTCCTCTAGGAGCTGCCTACCTGGGTAGGACAGGTTTGGTTGGGTGTCTGAGTTACCCCTCTGGGAGCCCAGGGGAGAGCGGAGTGACTTGTGGGCGAGAGACCAGCAGGTCCCAGACTGCCCTCTGCCCTGCTTTGACTATGACCAGGCCCCCCTCAGACTGTTTTCAAGCAGCTCTGTGCTTGAGACACAGCCAGTATCCTTGCTCTCAGGGCACTGTCAGCGCAGGGGGAAAAGCTAGTGACAACTGGACCAACCATAAAGCCCCTGTGGCGCTGTGGGTTAGGCATTGGGCTGCTAATGGCACAGTTGGTGGTTCAAACCCACTAACTGCTCTGTGGTGGAAAGATGAGGTTTTCTGCTTGTGGACAGATTCAGAGGCGTGGAAATGCCATAGACGGTGGCTATGTGTTTGACCCACTGGTAGTAGGTTTGGTTTGAGGACCCTGGGGCATCTGAGATAGTGGGGGCATTGGGAACCCCATTGGGAAACCACGGTCCAGATAAGGGAGGTGAATGGCCAATTGAGGGTTGGACAGAATCCCAACTCCTGCTCTCTTCCTGTTAACCACAGCCCGGAAGGGGACTTGCGTTTGTAGACTGAAGAATGGGAGACGTTCTGGGGCACAAGGACGGCAGGATGGAGGCCTGGGAGGTCCAACCTGTTTTCACGTTTAGATGCCAACGACTAAACTCTTAGGGATCCCTTTCTCCTGCAGTGCCCCCCACCCCCCACCCCATCACATGTAGCCTCCTAGATGAGGCTGCAATGAATTTTGACAACCTACCAAGACACTCTTTTTTGAAATCGGGAAGCAGTTTCCAAGGCTGTATTATTGCAGTGAGGTGAGGGGGGTTCCAGTCCCTCCCTAAGCATGTCAGACAGCTGTGCTGCCCACCCCTTCCTTGTTCCCTATTTGCTTAATTGCTGTGATCTGTGTTAATTATCACTTGCGAGGGTGCTGTGTTGCACAACCCTCTTTCCTTTGGTATGTACTTATTAGGGGCTTGTTTAATGAGGATGCAATTAAGGAGCATG